GGCCACCGCCACCCAAGTGCCCCCCACAGTCACAGAGGAACGTGGTGCCGGGAGCGCCCACAGCGGGCCCGGAGCACCGTCTAAAAAGCCTGCGTCCCGAGGGGATCGATTTCCCGAGGAGAGCAAATTCATCACGGTGAATCCAGGTGCGTGGCCCTGGGAGCCGGGGAGAGCCAGAGCTTGCTTGCGCGCTCCACCGATTGCGGGTGGCTCTGATGGAGGGTTGGGGGCTGGGGGTGCGGGATCACTGCCCATTCTGTTGAGGATAACCAATCTCCCCTTGCCCCTGACGGACTCGGCGGACTTCACGCAGGTAACGGACCCCATGACGTGAAAGAGAGCCATCTTCAGTGGAGTCAGTAAGGGTGGGTGCGTTGTTCTGCTGTTTAGCGTCTATCTTTAGGGGCTCACCTGTCTGCTGCCAGGATCCGGGCCAGGTAAGCACGGGCCCTACCTGTTGACACACAGCGAGAAAGGGAGGCGGAAAGCAGGAACCACTTTTTTAAAAGCTGCAGTTGAGTCATTTCCAACCCGAAGCCAGCCCCACTCTGTGGGGGTTTCCATGTCTACTTTTCCCCCAAACAGTTCACCCAGCCTTTCTTCCGGGGAGCATCTGGTGGACTTGACCCTCCAATCTTTGCGTTATCTGCCAAGTACTTCATCCCTGAGCTCCTGGAGCAGGGGTCCTCAAACTTTTTAAACAGGGGGCCAATTCACTGCCCCTCAGACCCGTTGGAGGACCAGACTATAGTTTTTAAAAAAATTATGAACAAATTCCTATGCACACTGCACTTACCTTATTTTGAAGTAAAAAGCAAACGGGCTGGATAAATGTCCTTGGCGGGCAACATGTGGTCCGCGGGCAGTAGTTTGAGGACGCCTGTCCTGGAGGCTAACTCTCAGGGAAGTTAGAAATCTAGCTATCTGGCTGGCTCATTAGATCAAGCAGGTTACCTGGATGGCTGGTAAACCACAAAATTCACTAACTTAAGTTTGCAACTATTTATTCATGGAAATAAGCCCGGTGCTGTTTGAGAGAACAATGGGGGGAGGACAGGAACCCAAAGTAGCGAGCAGAGGCCATGTTCTGGAGTGAACTGTCTCCCACAAATATGCCTGGTGAATCTTACACCCTGTACTGACGGGGGAGCCCCAGCAGCACAGAGGTGGAAGCACTCAGCTCTAACTAGAAGACCTGCAGTGAGCCCTGCAGCGAGCCCTGCAGCCGCTCCACAGGGAGATGAGTCCGTTTGCTTCTGGCCAGATGATTGCTTTGGGAAACCTCTGGGGCAGGGTTGCTGTGAAGCAGAAGCTACTCAAAAGCAAAGGCTTGTGGATGTGGCCCTATTTGAGAACAGGGTTTCTTTTTCTTTTTCTTTCCTTTGTGAATGAGGTCCTTTCAGTGTAGGGTCGGAGCCCTCCTGGCAAGGTGGTTACATGTTGGGCTGGTAACCACAAGGTCAGTAGTTCAAACCACTAACCGCTAAGCCTCGGGAGAGAAATGAGGCTTTCTACTCCCATAATGAGTGACAGTCTCAGAATCCCACAGGGGCAGTTCTAGCCTGTGCTACAGGGTCGCTACAATTCTCAAATGACTTGATGACAGTGGGTTTGATCTTACATGGTGTGTCTTACCAGTCGGTTTTGAGATTTCTTTTC